CTGATTTTTTTCAGGTCTGATTTTCGCTATTGCTTAAATAGTGCTATCTACTGCGAGGATCGTGCCTCATACGTATCAAATACCGCAGTTCAAAATATATGATTTTCATATATTTATTCTATCTCAGTGTGGGGTGTGTTGACACAGAGTCTGGCCCTGGTTGGGGTGGGGAATCTTCCTTTCTTGTGTATTGCTTCACGTGACTTGTGTTTCAGGAGTGCTGGTTCCCTGCTGGAATTTCTACTGCGAGGCTGTTTCCTGTCTTGCTAACAACCTTGCAGGGATTTGGGTTAAATGCTGTGCTGAGTTTATTAGTCTTGGCTTGTTGGACAAGAACTTCATCACCCAGTTCAATGTTGGAGGGACTGGCTCTGCGGTGTATGTCTGCATAAGCTTTACTCCTAGCTTTCTGTTCAGCATCACGATCATGTACTTCATGATCATAGGCATGGTCGATGCTCAAATCAGGGATCTTCCCCTTGACTTTTCGGTTAAACAGTAGCTCAGCAAGACTCCTTCCAGTCGCATTATGGGGTATGCTTCTGTAGGCAATGAGATACTTCCTTAATTCTGCTCTCCATGGTTTGTTCTCTGCCTGAGCGATTTGTAGTCGTTTCAATAGTGACCGATTCTGTCTCTCGACTTCTCGGTTGGCTTGGGCCAACTTGGCAGTAACTTTCTGGTGTATAATACCATGCAGTTCACAATATTCTCTCAATTCGTTCGACTTAAATTGTGGTCCATTGTCTGACTTTATGGTATTTGGTAGTCCATGTCTGCAGAAGGTATCAGCCAGATGGTCTATAATCTTTTCAGTGGTAGTGGACTGCATAACCTCGACTTCGTAGAATCGGCTGTAGTAATCAACAATAACTAATAGTGAATGTCCGGATGGAAGTGGTCCCATTAAATCTACTGCTAAGTCTTGCCAAGGTCCATCAGGTAATGATTGGGATCGAATAGGTTCTGGCGGATCTGGCCGTGCCACCAACTGGCACCCATGACATGCTCGACAATGTCTCTCAGCCGCTTTGTCCATCCCTGGCCACCACACCTTGGTTCTGAGGTTCTTTTTGGTGCCAAACACACCCAAGTGGCCCTCGTGAGCACGTGCTAAGGTCCTTGGCTGTAGCTTCCTAGGAATAACAATGCGTGTACCTCTGAGCACGAGCTGACCGATGACACAACTCCCCCGCCACTGCCATATATTGTCTACACTTTTCAAACCGCCCTGTTGCAATAGCTTTCCTCACTTCTTTCAGCTCTTCATCATCAGCAGAGGCCTCTTCTATTTCACGGGTTGTGAGTGCTATTGGTGTTGCACTTACAGCAACAAACCTAACGTATTCTTCAGTATACTGCTGGTGGTTGTCAGGTTCAACCCTGTTGTGAAGTAGGCGCGACAATGGACCAGCAATGTTTTCGCGCCCAGGCCTGTGCGTCACACTGAAATCACACGGCTGTAATCTGAGAGCCCATCGCTCTATCTGCGCACATGGTCTTGACCGTGGACCATATATGACCTGTAAAGGTTTGTAGTCGGTCTCTACCACAAACTTCATCCCATACACGTAGGCATGGAATCTCTTCCACTCCCACACTACACCGAGTGCCTCCTTCTCTGTCTGGGAATATCTCTGCTCACAGCCAGTCAAACTACGACTCGCATAACATACCGGTGTCCATGTATTGTCCTGTTCCTGTACGAGGACAGCGCCCAGCCCAACTGGACCAGCGTCCGTGATTATCTTGGTGGGTGCATTCTTATCGAAATATGCCAATGAACAAGCCTCTGCCATCTTTTGTTTGAGGCATTCAAAGGATTTCTTCTGTTCTGGTCCAAATTTGAAGGGTTTCTCTTTCCTTGTCAACCTTGGGAGTGGTTCGGATAAAGTTGCAAAGTGAGGTATCAGCCGGCTACTGTAGTTGGCTAAACCCAGAAAGCTACGTACATCTGATGCACTCTTTGGTTCTTCCACCTCTAGTACTGCTTTAACACGATCTGCTGTAGGACCAATGCCTTTCTCTGAAAGCAGCAAACCCAATGAACACCAGCTTGTCCGTATTAAACAAAGATTTCTCAGCGTTTAAAGTGAGACCGCACTCTTGCAGACGCTCTATAGTTTGGTGGACTCGCCTGTTGTGTGTTTATGTGTCAGGACCATGCACAACAATCTCATCCGAAATGTTTTCGACACCTTCAATACCTGCCAGGGCTGAAGCAATTTCGTGCTGATATTGTTCACTGGCAGAACAGACACCAAAGAGCAGGCGTTTATATCGAAACAAATCATCGGGTGTAACAAAGGATTTTTTTTCCCTGGATTCTGGGCTCATCTCCAACTGATGGTAACCCCATTTCAGATCTAATTTACTAAAGACCTTAGAACCATTCATGGTGTGTAAAACCTCGTCAACTGTGGGAATTGGATGTCGTCTTCGCATGATTCCTTGGTTTGCTTGTCTCATGTCCACACATAGGCGGATTTCCCCGTTGTTTTTGGGGACGATTACCACAGGGTTGACCCAGGGGGCTGGACCCTCCACTGGTTCGATTATTCCCATGTCCAGCAGTTCTTTGGTCTTATCTCGGATCTTCCCTCTCAGATTGAATGGATCATCCCTCTCAGATTGAATGGATCAATGTAAAACCTATTGCACAGCCTGAGGCTGTGCAATAGGTTTTACAGTGCGGTCTATGTCTAGGGATATCTATTTGTTTTTCAATTTTCCGACACCCTCAAAGACCTCTGAGTACTGCTGTTTTAAACTGTCAACTTTGCTTGTTACCATAGCAATGTTAGTGCCAATTTTTAAAACTCCCAGTTCTGTGGCCGTAATCTTTCCAAGCAGTGACATCCCTCTACCTTTGATTACCAAGACTTCAGCTTTGGTGGATCTATCACAAACACTCATTGTGCACTTGAAAACTACCCTTAACTGGTATTGGCTGACTGGACGCATATGGGTACAGTTTCTTGTCTGGGATGGTGGCTTGTGAATGACACTTCATTCCCTTCACCTTCAGCTGTTCCCATGTCCTCTCGTCAATAATGTTACTGTTTGCCCCAGAGTCTATTAACATCTAAAGGTCTACTCCTCCTACTTGTACGGTGAGCATTTCTAAGTGTTCTCCTTCTGTAATACTGAATGCGTAGTCATACTGAGGCCCATGGTCATTGTCATCAGGTTCCCTCCCCACCCGACGAGCATATGACTTTGTCTTGCAAACCTTTTCAAAGTGATCTTTCCTGCGACACTTCCTACATGTTTTGCCTCTTGCTGGGCATTGGAGATCACGACCGAAATGTCCCAATAAACCACATCTATAACATATCTTATCTCTCCCTTGGAATCGCCCTTGTGTGCTAGTATTCGGATTGTTACTTCTCTCATTGATTTTATTGATAGTTTCTGATTCGTCCCCCTTTACAGAAAGGGCAGCCAGTTGGGTTTCTATCTTTTCGCATTGTGCGGCAACCTCTAGGGTGCGCGTTAAGTTCAGTCCGTGGCCTTCTTCAAGTAATTTTCGTTTGATGTAAGTGGAAGTGCATTTATTCAAAACTGCATCTCTTATCTGGTTGTCGTTGTCAGTGCCAAAATCACAATCTTTAGCTGCTTTTTTTAAGCGAGTGACAAACTGCTGAACTGTCTCACCTGGGTTTTGCGTGATCCGATGAAAGGTCTGGCGGGTGAATGATGAATTTACCTGCGGCACGAAATAGGCGTTGAGAGCTGCGACAGCACTGGCGTAGTTTGTAGCATCCCCGGTTCCAGTTAAGGTGGTAAATATCTCTTGTACATCAGGCCCAGCCAGGTGGAATAGCATTGCTCTTCGCCTCTGTTTGGTTGCTGCTGTGGTTCCTTAGCTTATAATAACCCCTTTCCCGTCCGCGGACAGTTCAAATGAAGTTAACCACCTCTTCCATCGAGGGCCAGTCGTCGCCGGATCAGAGAAACAATCGAACTTCGGTAATATGTTCTGTTCCATTCTTTTTTGTCCTCGTCGCCAATGTAATGATCCCAAGGGCAATAAAGTATCCAAACAAACAGATTTAACTCAACTAGTTTCATTGCAAACGTAACATTGCCGCCGCTATCAAAAGCACATGGTTTTCTCCTTTCCCAGCATACTTAGCGTCCTAATACATTACAGTAACTTTAATTTTGGACAATGTCGGCAGCGAAGTCGCCAAAAGCGGCAGAAAACAACACAGTCAAAACAAAATAAAGAATTAGACGACCTTCTTAGGTTACTGTGTGCAACAAACACGGTAGCTTTCTTTCTCGACTCTCGAAATAAACAAGTCATGATTTCTTGATTCTTATTAGAGCAAAATCTTTTTGCTAGGGCGACCCTAAAACTAGGAACGACGGAATGACGGAATATGACCCCAAATCCTAAAACCCGGAACAGATGTAGCAGGACATGTTGCACGAAGTTTGTACAAAACACTCAAGCACTTGGCTCAATCATCCCCCAAGACGATAACGCACGTGACTAAAACTAAGTGTTGATTTTTTTTTTTCCTTTACTTAGTGTTATGAATAATTGTGAATCATTATACATGAAAGGTAGCTGCGTTGTAAACCTGTTTATTTATCTTTTGCCATGAATTTTAGTCGCGGCATAAGAAGTCGCACAGCATGTGAAAACGAACTTGACCTGCCACTTTGCAATAAACAATTGGAACATACATTTCGTGGTCACGTCTGCATGTTTTTGATGAAACATATGCTTGTAAGCGTGAGAAAATCACGGGAACTTTTCCACGCTTCTCAAAATAGAACGACGTTCAGCCACAGCTCCAAACTTACACTAGCGTAAGAGCAAGCCCTAGCTGCGAGCCCTTTAATAAGAGCTTTTCTTCGTCCGCGATAATCCATAACCAAATTACTTGACATACAAAGTTGAGGCATGGGCCTAGCAAGCCTTGGAATCATGTCAAGATAGCGGTAAGGGTAAGCAAATCGTTTTAAAAAGGTGCAGAGACCATCAATGCCATCTACTGTCAATCCATTATAGCATGTAAATTCCTCTGGGAGATTCAAGACTTCCTTTAAGTTATACGCGTCATTCTTGTAAAAGTGAAATTCAGCTTGGCATTCATCGTCAGACATCATGTCGAGTTCAAAAGCTTCGTAATTCCAGTAGGGAAAGTCAGGGCTTTTTGCAGTGCTGATGTTGTAGAGCAAAACAAATTCTTCATCATTTATGACACTTGAATAGTACGCATAAAGAAGGGAGATCCTGGTCTCCCTTCACTTTGGCATAATTTCTTATTACAAAAGAAAAAAGGCTAAGAAACTTTCCACGTACTGTGCTTGCTCGTGTGGCTGCGAAGTTTGGTGAGCTGATCTCAAACTGGCGCAATGTGAAGTTTTCCCGCCATTAGGATTCGCCGCGTCGTCGTGATCGGAATCCTGAACTTAAACTATTTTACATACAAGCGTCAGGCCCGACGCGACCACCAAGACACACCGCGGCGTCTTGTAGAATCACAGCATCGTAAACTCACTATTTATCCGCTTGGACAAATAATTATGTACTTCGGTAGGCCCTAAGTGAAGAAAGGTTTGCAGGGTTACGCGTGTGGGAAGTTATCGTGGCGTGAAAAGACAAAGAATTAACATTTCCGTTGGAAGGCCAATTTTTAAAAACGCCAGAGAGTTGAAGATTTGCAATTTGCTGAGGAAAAGTAGAAATCCACTAAACGAATTGGTGACATAACCTCTTTTTGTTCACAAAGTCTGTTTCTTTCGCTGATCTGTGAGCCGTGCATTTCATAGGAGGAGGGTGGTGTTTTGGACACCTTGTCAAAAAATAATTCTTGAAACTCTTCTGGACGGCTTCCTTCTGCCAACTTCCTTTTGTCTTTTAACGCCATGAGAAATTCCCACGCGATGACCCCATGCAACTTCTCTTCAGCTAGGGTTACTCGAGGTCTAAAATGCATTCGTGGACGAAGAAATATATCTTATTAACCAAGTGCGAGGGCCGTACTGGGAGAATATCGGCCTGAGAAATCTAGGAGCGGAGCGCCTCTCCAGAAGAGGATCCTTGTGCAAGGAGAGACTGGAATTGGAAAAACTAGTTTCGTTAAGAAAATGCTAGTGGATTTGTCAAATCTTGATGAGGCAAATCTGGATGAAGAACAGAAAAATGCGATGAGGAGGTTTGACCTTGTTCTTGCTGTTGCTCTTAAAGAAGTCTCCCAGTGCCAGACTTTCACAGAAGTCTTACGTGGCTCTCGCCTTTTTTCGAGTGGCGACGACAAATTCTTTAATGATCTCAACAGTTATATCATTAAGAACCAAGAGAGAGTTCTGCTCGTGTTTGATGGCTACGACGAGTATCGCACTCGAAGCAAAGCAGAAGAACAGTATGGCAGCAGAAGCGACTCGCCAGTTTCCCAAATCTTTCACAGAATTATTCTGAGTGACTGTACTGTCATGGTAACCACTCGAACATCAAGAGCTGACGAGCTACGAGAACCAGCCGACATTCAAGCAGAGGTCACCGGCTTCAATTCATCTGACAGGCACGATTTTATGACGAAAATGTTGAAAAGCGAAACAGAAGCGGACGAGCTGTGGTGGTTCCTTTTGTGGAGGGGAATGGCAGATCTACTGAAGGTTCCGTTACTAAACCTTTTTTTTTGCTTGTTGTGGAGGGAAGAAAAGAACGAGCTGGAGAATGGAACAAAAGGTAAAACTAAGTTGTATCAAGCAATTGTCAGATTCATTTTACAGCACAGTCACAGAAAGCATTCTCCCACCCAGGCCTCTATGACAAAAGAAGAGAGTTACGAAGATATTTTGGCCGAAATTGGAAAAGTAGCTTTGGAAGGCCTACTGAGGGGTGATCTGGTGTTTGAGTATGATAAATTGTCTGCGGCAGTTCGTGGAGAGAGAAGTGTCTTAGCTGGTCTTCTTCAGGTATCTGAGTGCGGACCGAGTGTTGAACCAAAAGGGAGGGTGTCATTTATTCACAAGAGCATGCAGGAGTATTTAGCAGCCTGGTTCATCACCAACAGATGTGTGTCTAAGGGAAACCTCGGAGGAATGGAAGAACATGCCGGCACCTTGAAGAAATGTGAAGAGTTGGAGAATGTATTCCTCTTTATTTGTGGTTTGTCTGACGATGGAGCAGTTAAGATTCTTGAACACTTGAAGTCAGTCAGAATGTCTCATCCAGAGCTGGACTATTCGAAGACAATACCTGAAAAAGAGACAAACAAGCCACTGCCTGCCATCTCCTAGAGGCAGTGGAAGTTTATCGGCCTTGTTTACCGTTGCTTTGATGAAGTTCAGTCCAAAGCTAAGCTTTTAGATCTCTGTTTGGATTGCTTTGGACGAGTTGTCCACGTAAACCTTCATTCTATAGAATTTTTGCGAGAGTGGGAGGTCGATATTCAGTTGATTCATTCAGATGTTGAATTTCATATTTATGTGGCATTTACCGGAGAATTTACGGAAGAGTTTCCAGATGGGATTTTTAAAAAATGTTTATTTTCATCTTTGCTATTTACGGAACAGGTTGAAAACTGTAAAAGGTCGTTCATAGAAGTTTTCGGTTGCGGAGATGTAGTTGTAAAGGTAACTGAGAGTGCTACTCCTATCACGTTAAGAGACTTTATTACGGAGTATTTTGAGGTATCTCAGTGTGGCTGCAGTTTCGAATCCATCCTTGGTCTTCACAATGGACGGTTTCAGTTTTACGTGACAGAGATAACACTGAGTTGTGATCACCATGCTAAACTATTTACTGGACGTACAGCATCTTGTGCTCAATCTCGCTCAAGGGACTGGTCTTCGGAACAATCATGTTTAAAATTCTTAAATGTTTTAGAATGTGATATTCTGAGTAGAGACAAGAGTTTTCAATTGTTTGATAAGTTCTGTGATCTGCTGCAATCTGTACCAAACCCGAACAGGTGCCTGTTAAAAGTTGGTCGTTCAAGAAGAGACGACGAAGATAGATTTGAATTTGAGTATGCAGAGTATCGACTGACAACTGCTGAAGCAGAGAAGCTTGTCCGGGCACTTCCGCCATTTACCAGGATCGAAAGAGTTGCACTAAGCGTCAGAAATTGCTCTGCGGCAGCAGCGGAGACACTGGTTACTAGTGTCATTCGCAAAACTGTTAAGGAACTAGACCTGCATGGAATAACTCTGACTTCAGCAGTAGCTGCGGCGCTCAATCGGTCGCTTCCTCAAATGTCGTCATTGGAAGAACTTTATTTAACTGAAATGGATGTTAGCAATTTGCAGGCAGAGGAAGTAAGTGCGCTCTCTGACGAATTACTCCCTATGATGAGTTTTCTCGAGTGTCATTTTATCAGCCTGAGGGGTTGGCCTGCTCCACTCTCCACCATTCCCCATTACGTTGTGTCAATTTGAAGCTGAAAATCTATGGCATCAAGACCGATGAAGACAATTTAGTTGGTTTTTTTGAGAGCCTTAGATTTACTCCTCGCTTGAAAGTTCTGTCGCTGACCTGTACAGGTTGTTCAGAACAAGTTAGCGTAATGATTGAGTCATCATTTGTTGACGAGACACTAACACTAGCAGGAATAAATCTGACTCCAGCTGTAGCTGCGGCGCTCGGTCGGTCGGTCACTCCCCGATATACCGTACTTGAGAACACTTTATTTAACTGGAGAGGATGAGAAGGATGTTGTCAACATGGATGTTGGGTTAATGGAGGCACTGTTTGGTGGATTCGAAAAAGCATCACCTGTACGGGAATTTATATTCAGTGGTTTCAGCGTAAGAGGTTGTCTTGCTCCTTTCACCAAAAGCTTGCGTTTCTTTCCCGATTTGGACGGGTTATCGCTCACAAAGTTAAATTTGGATGAACAAGACTTGAAAGGTCTGCTCGAGAGCTTTGAATTCATCCCTCGTCTTTCGTACCTAGACCTGTCATGCAATCCATTAGGTGACCCAGTGAGATCTATCGTGCCATACGTCATCAATTTGTCCCACCTGCAATTTTTACTCATCCAAGAAACATCATCTGATGAAGTTGTGAATTACCTTACAGACGCAATTCGACATGCAAGACCTGACGTTTTGGTTTAGCAACACAAGTTTACGTTCGAGTCAAAGCTCAACACAAGCACGACTTAGGATTCAAGCTTAAGTGACGCACTGTTCTTTCAGTTGAATCATTGTCAGAACTGAATGCTTTCGAAAGACAAATATACTCTCCGGTGTTACACTTTTGTATTATTCCAGCGGATGAGAATGAACACGAGAAAGCAGCTCTATAAATTTTCTTTATGAGCTTTGAATGGAGCTAATATATATCTAAGAACTTTTTTGCTATGTTTCAAAAACTTTTCAGCTTTATGCATTTGTAATTTGTAATTTACCTACAACAACTACTAAGAACAAACTTAAGAGCTTTTGGAAAGGGAATCAGGGTAACATCTTGACGAAAGGGAGCTGAAAATGAACAATGGTCTGTACTGTTAACCGCAAAGGGAAATTCTGTAATTAATCAATCTTTGATACTTCCTAAGTGTATTTCTGCAAAAAACGGAACAAGTATTCTTTATAATATCGATCGACGTTCATCTTCGTAAACCTGTCAAATTTCTGGGTGTGAATATAATAAAGGAATTGAAGATTGATATTTGCCATGTTCGATTCTTGCTATTATATTTAGTGTTAATGATTTAATCATATACAGAATTTGGTTTTCAGCCACATCAGAGCTGTGCTTCTGTTTCGTTCGGGGTCTGGCGGTATGATGGCACACAGTCTATATTTCGTTCCCAGTTTTGTCTCTGTCCTTTTCTGTGACTTTTCCCCTTTCTTCGCTTTATACGCGACTTTGGTAATACTACGTCCAAATGAATGCTGCAATTGACCAGCCTTGTACGAGGTCACTCAAGGGGCATGTTGTTTCGCGCGGCCTCGATCTTTGTTGTTGTTTGAGATGCAGAGCTAAACGAGCTTCCTTGACGTAGGGGAATAAAAATAAAAAATACTTTTTACTGCAAGCGGTAATTCTGTAATCAATCAGTCAATCCTTGAAAGCTTTTAAGTTAACAACAGCAACAACAATTTATTGATTTGCAACAATTACAATTTGAGAATTGCCTTCCCACAATTAGTTGAAAACTAGTGAAAGCGGGTAGGTGTAATTAAGTTAGACTTATCACTAGGTACTTAGAAAGATTTCGAATTAGCAGCGGTTCAGATTACACTAAGAAAACAGTAGTTCAAATTACAATAAATAGCAAACTAATTTAATGATAATAACAGGAAATAGAAAGAGACTTCGCTATGCTGGTCGTAGCTAGAGGATTGATGAAGTTTACAAATATTTAATTATTTTAAGTATTGAAGATGGTGTAAGATACAAGGTCTATTGTTTGAAGATATTAATAAGAATTTCATGTATTTGTTTTTTAAATAGATTTCTATGGGCAGATTCTTTCATACTGTCAGGTAAAGCATTCCATAGCTGGACGCCAAAGTGGGAAAAAGAATTCTTAAGTTGTTCAAGACGAGAAGACATGACATAAAATTTGTTGGTAGTTGCTGATCTGCTGTTGTAGGAATGTATATCTGAGACATAGGTAAATAGATTTTGAATACGGGGAGGAGCTAGTTTATTTTGAATATCATTCATTAAACAAGAAATCGATTCGACATAAGAAAATGAACAGGCAGGATATTAAGATTAATAACAAAAGGAATAGCATGTTCACACTTTGGAGAAAAGTTTATTAAACGAATAACCCGCTTCTGAAGGAGAAGCTTCTTCAAAGCTGACTGTGACGCTTGACCCCACGAGCTAATTCCATAAGTGAGGTGGGGGAGAATAAGAGACTGATATAACTTGACAATGACAGAAAGGGGTACAAAGTGTCTCGGTTTAGCTATCATACCAATGTTTTTGCTAATTTTTAAAGCAATGAGATCAATATGAATTTTCCAGTTAAGACTCTTCAATGAATATGCCAAGATATTTTACATAATCCTTGCATTCTAAAGGTGAATATGACATTTTAGTATACACACGCTCAGTGATCTTGGCGTTTCAAGCAATCTGATTGGTTCGCTATCTCGGGCTATTCAACACCTCCGAGCGAGTGGATAGTGTGAAAAAAACAATGGCGGTCGTAAATTTAACAAACACAAGACGAGGCTGTGCCTGATAATACAAAAAAGGCAACTAAGTACATGAAGAGATGAAAGATTTTTAAGGTAAGAGAAGACTCCACAGTGTTAAAAAGTGTTCGGTGTTTTATTTAGCCGACAACTGTCAATAAACTGACATTCGTAACTCTTCACACTGCAACAATTTCTTACAAAACAAGTATATTCTTTGTAGACTGGTTTTCCCAGCAAGACGAATTTACCACAGATGTAGAAGAGATGAATAAGGAGGAATTAAATAAATGCTTGAGGAAATTTTATATGTCTGCAAGAAA